CCCCTCCCCCCTCCTTCCTTCCCCTCCCCTCCCCTCCTCTCCTCTCCAGGTCCATTGCTTTTCCTGAGTTCTGGGGTCCCGAACTCTGGTCCTCATGCTTTCTAACACAGCAGACAGTTTACCTGCAGAGCCGTCTCTCTAGTACGAGACCTTTAGTGACTTAATTTTTATAGTTCTAGTTTAGGGGCTTCTCTAAATTTTAGTACTAAGAATGATGGGTTTAAATTACTATATTACTAAATTACTACAGAATATGCTTCCTAACTTGACCCAAATACTTGTATCAGAATTTTGTATTTTGAGCATTCTATCATTAGCAAACCTGGCTTATATATAACGAGTTCCACATACACTGATGTCAAAACCTCTAAATGATAAGATAGAAATTAAATTAAATCCCACAGAAAGTCTGTCTGCTTATTAACTCAGCCACATACCACCTATCAGTAATAGTCCATTTTCATTTAGGGTAAGATTTTTAAAATTTATATCTTGAATAATGACTATATATGTTCAATTCATGATCTAGCTCTTCAGTTTTCAATTTATTTTTAGATCTTTGGACCAAACCATGTCTAGTAACTAATTAAATATTCAGTCTTAAAACTGTTACCAGCCACCTGTATTTTGTCTATTCTAACTTGATCAGGCAGCTCCAGCCTGCAGGGGGCACTGTAACTAAGTCAGTCTTGATTGTGCATAAAACACTCTGCAAAACTTGTAACTACACACACACACACACACACACACACACACACACACACACACACACACACACACACACACAGTGTTTCCAAACTGAGAATTTATCCCTACATGATATGTGGTAGATTTGTTTGTTTGTTTGTTTGTTTGTTTATTGTGTGTTCAGATGATGCCAGCTGCACACATTGTTGGAAACTTGCAGTGTGGTCATTTTCTGAGGAGTTTAATTCTCTTCTGGAATCCTGATTGTGAAAGGTTTGTTTAGGGGATTGGAAGAAAAGGGGTGATACATCCAGAACAACAGTTGGAACAGTGTTGAGATAAGACTGTCCCAAATTGTCCAGAGAGTAAGTTGATAGCTTGCTATTTGGAGTATTTAGATATAAGTGATGGGACACACTTGAAATTCTAGCACTCCAGAGTGCAAGGAAGGAAGATAATGAGTTAAAAATCCGCCTGGGATGCATAGCAAGACATCAAAAACATAAACAAGTTACACGTTTTAGAGTATATAGTAAGTAATATTAATAAAGCATAAAGTGTAATTTGGAAAAGAAAGGGGGCAAAGTTTTGGTACAGTAGTAAAGGATAACTATTGGTAGCCATTAAAATTTTGGATTTTTTTTTATTTGTTTTTTGTTGTTGCTGCTATTGTTTTTTAATTGATGTAGTAGACATTTCTTGTGCTGGAAAAGATGATGTTAAGTGTAAGCACTTAGGGCAATAAAGCTTATCAATTAAGACTAAACAGTTGGTGCCAAGGATCTTCCAGATAGCTCAGTTGGTAAAATGTTTGCTGCTCAAGGGTGTGAATCTGAGTTTAATCCCCAGCACCCACAGTGTATAAAAGCAGGCACAGCAGCACACACCTGCAGCTCCAGTGCTGAGCTCAGTGGCCAGCCAGGCCAAGCAAACCAGTGAGAGGTCCTGTTTCCAAAATTGAGACATTCAACACTTACCTCTTGCCTCCACATATATCTGCACATATAGTGCATGAACTATACACACACACACACACACACACACACACACACACACACACACACAAACACAAACCCATACACAACTGAGAAGTATGTAAATCCATACAAGAATTTGTTTATTTCTGTCGGACTAGGAGATGTGAGATAGTATTGTATAAAATATTCTAGACTGGTAGGGATGCCTATGAAAATAAAAAGAAATTTAATCAAGAAAAAAACAATAATCCAGATTACTAAAATTATGAAAAATAACCAGCTAAGTTGAAAATATATGGGGAAATGAACTAGCCTTTAAATCTTATTTGCGTTTACAGGACCTAAGAAAAGCTGGATTGCTGATTTTTGCTAATAAACAAGATGTTAAAGAATGCATGACAGTAGCAGAGATCTCCCAGTTTTTGAAGCTAACATCTATAAAAGACCACCAGTGGCATATCCAAGCATGCTGCGCTCTTACTGGCGAGGGGTAAGATGTCTTCTAAGTGCCATACATTTGGCTTAGAATTATGTATGTCTTCATCAAATCAATAAGTATGTAAGGAAGTCAGTGTCTGTAGCCAGAGACTTTGGATGATTGTGTAATAAGATATGCAACACAGATATACATATATGAACTAACATGTAGATTCTACTGTTGCTATAGCAGCATAGAGAAATGAGAGAGTCGCTGAGAATCTGGAAAAGCCAGAAAATACTTTTTTTTTTTTTTTTTTTTTTACCTTTTTATGTGTATAGGTGTGTTGCCTGTGTCTACACCACTTGCATACTGTGCCCACGGAGGTCAGAAGACAATGTTAGACCTCTTAGGATTGGAGTTACAGACAGTTGTGAGCCACCATTCAGGTGCTGGAAATTGAACCTGGTTCCTCTGCAACAGCAGACAGTACTCTTAGCTGGTGAGCCGTCTCTCCAGCCCCTAGAAAAGACTTTTGATAATGAACCTGGGACTTAGGAACTAAAGCTTGAGAGCATGTCCTCCCGGAAATGTTTTCCATGCAGTGTCTTAGTCCTCATGGCAGCTCTGTAGACTAGTCCACATTTTATGCATAACAAAGAAGGAATAAACAAGGATTTATATGTAAAGCTAGCAGATAGCCACCATGGCCAGCAGTGTTGTCAAAAGGAAACTGTGCTGTCAAAAACTGCTGGAGACTGAGGGTGTAGCTTGTTAGTAGAGTGCTTATCTATATGCTTCAGACCATAGGTTGAACATGCTCCATATTTTTACTCCCAAAACCCCATGTATGACACGAGAGTCCTTGCTTCTGGAATCAAGAGTATTGGAAGACAGTATGATTTAAGAAGGAAGTGGTGGTTATTTGTGTCAAATGTGTGGTCAGGCACCAGGAAGATGGAAAAAGTACTGTTGAATATAGTAGTGAATGAGCGAACTCAATCCGTGTATTGGGAAATTGGTCAGAAGGAAGTCAGTGGCAATTTAAAGAGAAAGTAGATTTTGGGATAACAGCTGTAAAGTCCTTTTTTTAAAAAAAAAAAATATTTTATGTGTATGTGTCTGAGTGTATATATGCACACCATGTCCATGCAGGAACCCCTAAAGGTCAAAAGAGGGAATTGTATCCCCTGGAACTGGTGTTACAGGCAGTTGTAAGCCATCATGTGGGTGCTGGGAACCAAATCTGTATAGTAGAATATTTTAATGTTTGTTACTTTTGTTTATGTTGCATTTGTTTAACTCTGTAAAGCTATGTTGTTGTGCCTGTGTATAACACCTGATGGTCTAATAAAGAACTGGCCAATAGCAAGGCAGGAGGAAGGATAGGCGGGGCTGACAGGCAGAGAGAATATATTGAGAAGGAGAAAACTGGGAGGAGGGATCAAAGAGCTAGCAGCCAGAGGAGGGGGTCTCCAGGGGCCAGCCACTCAGCTACACAGCAAACCACTGAATAAGAGTAAGATTTATAGAAGTAAGAGAACGGGAAAAGCCCGAGGCAAAAGATAGATGAATAAGTTTTAAGGAAAACTGGCTAAAAACTAAGCCATGCTATGACGAGGCATTCATAAGTAAGAATAAGCCTCCATGTGTGATTATTTGGTAGCTGGGTGGCGGGGCCCCCAAAAGAGTAAAAACCTTCAACAATAAACCTGGGTCCTTGCAAGCATAATAAAAGCCCTGAACTGCTGAGTCACCTCTTTAGCCCAGCTAGAAACTCTTGAGTGTGGCAAGGAACGAAAGGAAAGATGAAATAGAGGAAGTTGGGTACAGGGTAAAAGCCTAAAGGAAGAGTAACTGTTTTGCTACTTGTCAAAGGTCTGGGGATCTGTATCTATTCAAAAGCAGTAGAAAGGAACTTGAGATTATAAAGGAGGTCTTGAGTGTTGGGCTGAGGCTCTTGATGTATTCAGTAGGGTCAGAAACCTAGAGTCCCCACTGTGGGAGGCCAGCTCCCACCTTTTCAAGGGTTCTTATGAGGAGGAGAATGTAATAAGAAAATACTAGAAGCCGGCAGCGGTGGCGCACACCTTTAATCCCAGCACTGGGGAGGCAGAGCCAGGCGAATCTCTGTGAGTTCAAGGCCAGCCTCTTCTACAGAGCGAGACCCAGGACAGGCACCAAAACTACACAGAGAAACCCTGTCTTGAAAAAAACAAAACAAACACAAAAATTAGAAAGATAGCGAAGAGGAGAAAGACAGGAACACAGGATAGCTTTGGGAAGACCTGGGTCAATACCCAATGGCCCTTTTCCATTTATTCAAAAGGGCTTTTTATAATAATGCCAAGGGGCAGGGCAAAAGACCTCCCCCCTTGCTGGATCAAAGCACACTGCACAGCCAAGAGTAGACCCTTCCAAACACCTGGTAACCATGCCTGTGGTCAGATCATCCCTTTATGCATCCCTGCTGGGTAAAGTAAGCTCAGATTCTCAAACCCTGAGTAAGTTCTCACTAGGAAACCTCTGTGGGTCTCTACACTCAATAAATGAATTGGGTAAAGTGACAGGATTTCTTTCCCTTTGAAATCTTAATGAACGGTGAATGAATATGAGTTATTCAAATCAAATTACTGTGAAATAGACCAAATCTTGGTTTTCATTTGGGTGCCATTTGACTCAGTTGAAGATCATGGGCTATGGAGCATGGCCTTGCATGACCCCAGTTCTGCCATTTGCTAACCTTGCGAGGATATCTTGTCTGCCATGGGAAGGATTGCAGACTAATTGTTGAGAAGACTCAGATGGCTGTTAGGTACTTAATGCAGCCTGTAGTGTACTTCTAGTATTTCAGCTGCTCTTCCTTTAACAGTTGGAAGCCATTTGTTGTTTTTTTTTTTTTGTTTTGTTTTTTTTTTTTGGTTTTTCGAGCCAGGGTTTCTCTGTGTAGCTTTGCGCCTTTCCTGGAGCTCACTTGGTAGCCCAGGCTGGCCTCGAACTCACAGAGATCCGCCTGGCTCTGCCTCCCGAGTGCTGGGATTAAAGGCGTGCGCCACCACCGCCCGGCTAGCCATTTGTTGTTTTACACTGTTTTCAGTTAGTTTAAAAGTAGGAGTCTACTTATGGAGAAAAGTAGCCACTCCCCAAAATCTTCTGTTTGCTTTGTTGCCATCTGTGTATTCTTTTATACTTTTACATTCATATCTACAAAGCTTATCATAAATAATGGACAGGTTTGGAGCTTACTGTAGAATCACTGATCACTATTTCCTTCTCTCTCAGCATCTGGTTTCTCTTGTCACAGGATAATCCCTTTCTGTATTTTGAATTAGTGCAGTTACTTGTTGGTCAATAAAAAGTAATAATAATGATATACTTTATTGCCTCAGATATTTTACATAGTTTTATATATATACTTTGTGTTAAGAACTTTGTTATGTTTAGTATAAAATTCCATTATTTTTACTTCATTTATGTCGAGTATTTTTTGAAAGGGAAGGTTTTACCATTATATAATATGAGTGTTCTAAAATATTATGGTTTTTGCTGATTCTAGACATTCAAATTTCACTTTCCTATTAAAAAATGCTTCATTGAGTAATCTTACACAAAAATCTACCTCCTGATTTTTATTTTTAGAATACTTTGCCACTCTGTGCTTGTTTTTCTAAACACACACACACACACACACACATTTAGACAGTGCCTAACATATATAGGGAACTCACATGACCAATGCCCATAGAACGAACAGGTTATATATATATATATAATTTACTTATACATATTTATTATTTATATATGTGTGTGTATAATATATATAAAACCTGTTCGTTCTATGGGTATACATGTTAGGCACTGTTCTAAGAATTAAGATAAAAATAAACCGAAAGCTTGTGTGGCCTAGAGTAGTAGGTCTTTAACTCAGCAGCACCTGAACTGATTGCTACTGCTCTCAGTTTTTATTCTTCAGATTAATAAAAACTGCTGTTTGCTAGTGTATAGCCTGTAGCTTTTGAGTTCATAATTTAATCACATGATTTTTGTTGTCGTCACAGGTTATGCCAAGGACTCGAGTGGATGATGTCACGGCTGAAGATCAGATGATCTCTACTGACCTCTTCTCACAGACTCTGTATCAACAAAGTGCTGGACTTTACCTGCAAGCTGCAAAAAAAACGGTTGAGATATATTTATAATAAACTGATTTAAGTGTTTTTCTACAAGAAGGAAAATGAAGACCACTCATTTGAAAACAAAGATGAACGTCACCGCCCAGTTTGCTCTCATTCCTTCCGAAGTGCATCGAAGCTGTGACTGACATTTCTCACGATGAATCCTCTCCGGATGTGGTAGAGCTGTGGCGAGTACGAAGGGAGAGGAAGACATTTGAACTGTAGAGCTTTATTGTCCGAGTGCTTTGCCCTTCCCACCCCACCCCAAGTTGAATGTTCCCTTCTCATTACGTTGAATCAAATACAAATCAGCACAGATACCGTTCCCAGTTTTTAAAAATGTAATATTATGAAAGTATTTTGCTTAAAGTTGAATATGTATTGTGTATATACCTCAAGTTCAGGTTAATGGCTTTGATTTGTGTTCTAAAGAAAAGCAGATAATACAATAATAACCTTAGTTATTATTACCCTAATGTTATTCAGTACCAACGTTAGTGTTAAGGGTCATTTTTGTAGTTTCCCTTCTGTTCTCTGTATTGTTCTAACAAGCCAGCCCTGACCTAGAATTGTTGAGCTGCTCCTTAAAAACAAAACAGGAAAAAGCTTGACATTGTATACCAATTTTTCTTGCTCAGTAATTGAGATGGACAAATGTAACACAAGTGAGTAGAGTGTCTGCTAGACTCCTGGCCAGGAGTGACTGGGCAGAATTATAGACAGAGCAGTTACCAGACTTTCCCTTCTATTGATCCTATGCCAACTCAGCTACTAATCAGTCATAAGTTGTGATTAAAACTACCAGGTCATTTTTAATTGAAAATCATGGTGTGAAATATATCTGCCCAAAGAGGAAACATTCTATAAATAGTAGTAATTAATTTAGCTGCAGCTTTTTAGGTATAACATGACAAACAGCTAAAAATGAATTTGAGAGTAAGCATAAGGCATAATTTTCAGTGAACATTGATAATTTCTCAATTTGCAGATTTATTTATTTCTGTAGGTTTTCTTAACATGTTCTTCTACTGCATAAAATACCTTGTTTAATAGTTAGGAAATCCAAATACTCTGAATGCTTTTGAGAATTTGATTGAAAATTTGACATGTTACATCATTTGTACTAGAAGTAATTTGATCCAAAACACCTTTTATATTTGCTGTTTTTTTTTTTAATTTATCTAAAAGTTGAAGGTATTTCTGTCATAACTATAAACAAAATTACCATGTGTTTTAACATATTCTTGGTGACTCTATATGCCTTTTGTGCCCTGGAAATTTGAAGGTTAGTCAAAACTGTCAAGATTTAGGATATTCAAAAAAAAATTAACTAGTTTTAGTATCAGACTTTAAAATTTCCTAAAGATTTTGATAAGAAATAGAAGTCCACATTACAAGCATTAATGGAGCTTTGAAAAATCTTTCATTAAATGTGAGACACTTAACTGTCTAAACCCATCGGGTGCGGATGAGTGTTAACAGGGATGCTTTGTGTTTGAGATCTGCTGTAAGCCTCCCAGTACACTCTCAGCATTTAATGTTTGCCCACCTGCTCTGAGAAAATCAGCCCTCAATCACTGGGCTTTGTAGTGCTAAGTTCTAGTCATACGTTCTCATACTTCAAATCACGATGAAAAGTTTCCTCTGGTGTATTAGAAAATCCCCTTAAAGACTCACATCTCCTCCGTAGTTTTGTTAAAGACAAACAGCCTCTAATGGAGCCCTTCCCACCCCTCCAGAGCCCAGACCTACAGCTTGCTAAAAAGCTGAATTTTTATTTTTTAATTTGAACAATCATGTGCATAGTTGCTTGGATCACTGTTACATCAGTTCAACACATACCAGCACATTCTGAAGTTGCCAGGGTATTGGCTAAAATTTATTTCTTAGTTGGATGTTTAAAGTGTTTGTTCCATTGTTAAGGTTGGCATAGTATAGTCAGTTATTGACATGTCATAAGAAAGCATGAAACTTTACCACTTTTACAAAATATGAGGTTTTTGGTTTTTTAACCCTTTTAAGCTAAGCATCAAAAAATATGATTCTTGTGTACTTGTACATAAAAACAAAATTATAACTAAGTAAAAAGAGATTTAATATATGAAAATATCAAAACTGTCAAACAGTATTAGGCCTAACTGTGGCGGAGTACCCCTTGACGTCATGCTGGCAGTTTACATGTCATGGGGCAGAACTCAGCAAGCCCTGTGGTTTCAGATGTTAATATGCGACTTCTGGGTGTAAACAAACATCTCATTTAACCTCACTGTGCTCAGCTCTGAAAAGAACAAAGATTTATACCTCTGTACATGTGAATAGACTTAAGTGTCCCGTTTTGATACTAATTTTGAAAGTTGTTTAACTTCTCTTGATATCTTGGTAAAAGTGGCCAAAAGATAAATCATTTGGATATATTTGATTTTGTCATAACATTTATAAAGTGTATGTTTCCCATTATATTGAGAGTTTTATTTTAAAAATTCAGTTTCCCTTATATTTCTAGCACACCTTGGCCATCATAGTAGACAAAGAATACAGAGAAGACAAGTGGGCTGGGCAGTGGGGAATGAGTATTCATTTTCTTGTGACATTTTGCCTTAAGAATAAAAAGGTGCATTAGCACTGCTGGTTGGCATTTCGAATGCAGGTGGTAAACCTAGTCTTACGTAAGCATAGCATGGGGTAGAAGGAATAAGAGTGTGTTTCCTGGCCTTGAAGAAGTGCCTCGTAGGTAGTCACAGGAAGTCGCAGGTAAGTGTGGGGTGTGTGAGGACAGGCAAGAGGTCCCTAAGGTGTCTTTTCCTTTTGTCTGAGTGTATAGTATTAAGAAGCCGAGAAGAGAGACAGTATTGGTCCTCTCTTACAGGCACTTTATATTTCTTGCTGTAACTGCAGCAATCACATACAGTACAGACAACCTCAAAATCTGTTTATATTAGTGTAAATAAATAAAAAAAATCATAGCCAGCTGTCTAGTTTTTTTCTGCAGGCATTTTTGGGAATGCATCTATAGTCTGTTCTACTTTGTTAATAGGGGATAACAGCACATCCTAGATCTTATGTGAACTTTGGGATCTTCTAATTGCCCTTGGTATCCTGGTATCATTCTCATTTTCAAGGCAAGGTAGAGAGGGTTTCTTTATACAGCAGATTTGACCACTTCGTTCTCCAAAAATA